TTTAAATCATGTAAATAAGCCCAAAAGTAAAATTATGTGTAAATGAACATAATACAGGCACTTTACAAACTACCATTTAAAAATAACTACAATCTTTGGCGCTTCTCAGACACCTCACCTCAGCAGCAATTAAAATTCCACCCTCACATAATTTCCCATGATGAATATGATGCTATAACCATGCAAACAGTTAATATGTAACCTGCTGTAAAATAAAAGTCCACAGGGACACCCATAAAATATCTGATTACAATATCTACAAGAGCTTATCTCTCTAAACACCATCTGTTCATAGGTGGACGAGACACACAAGGTGCAAATGGACACAGGTTTTCAAGAAACACCCGTCTGGGTTAGAAAGGTGCACTGTACTGTTTGAGAGCCAGTCATGGCATTCTATATACTCTATATCATGAGTGAGATCAGCCCCAATTCTGCACAGAATAAGTAAACTCTATGCTGGACAAACTGTGGAAGGATGAAGAGGCCTATTGTTCCAGATTTGCATAACTAATTTGGCTGATTAAACTCTTGGCGTCAGCACTGGGAATTTTACAAATGATGTACACAGCAAATCATGCGAGAAAGAAAGTCAGAGGAGGACAGAGGAGAGAAAATCTGAGTGTGGACTCAGTAGAGTCATTCTAATATGCTGAATATTTCAGTGGTGTTTTAATGATGACATCTGTTTTAAATCATAGTATAAGACCTTTATGTGATTTGCTGTAGACAAGAGTGATTATTGACTCATAAAGCACACAAGTAAAAAGGGAATCGCCCAAAGGTCATAAAACTGTTGTCATGTATTATAAAAGAAGTACACTTCAGCATACTTTCGAAATAAGTACTTATCACTGAAATAATATACTTTAGAATATAATTATGTGTGAACTTAAGTGTGTTGAGAAACATAGTCACGAATGTGCCTCTCTTCAAGTGGCATTTTATTTCTTTAATATTATCTGGAAGTACAGTTTTTTTACGATATACTTTTAAGATCTGAAGTACTCTACAAGCGCACACGATTCAATTAATGTAAAATCCTAGATTATAGATCGCAGCTTGCGTATAGTAAAGGACTGTTTGATATGTAACACAGATATCTATAGTCGTCAATGCTTAAAAAACTAAATACAAGCAAGGTAACAGCCATTGCAAAACTTTAGCATTAACTTGAACTAATTTTTATATTATTCTGGTTGAAAACTAAATGTATAGATTTCAATTGTTAAATCTATAGCCATCGATACAATGAAGAGGATCAGTACAGAAAGTTTTGTACAGAGCAGACAGGTTTTCTGAGCTCACCCTCTACTGCATATGAGCTGCAGAGCTTCAATGTGTCCGTGGTAAGCTGCCCATAGAGTGGGTGTCATGCCATCCTCATCTGGGGTGTTCAGATCTTTCCTGGTGGCTTCTTTCAAAAGATCCAAATAGCCATCGATGGCTGCTTTGTGATATCGTGACATGATTGTAATATCGATCTCTCTTCTTCAGCAAGTACATATATTTCGTGAAGTATTACAGGACCATCTTTGCAGACATCTCGCGTGCTCTGTCTCTGCGTCTGAGGGAGGACAAACTCTAATCACACTGCCTGGACACGACACCATTATCACTGTCATAAACTAAAGTCCAGAGTGAGCTCAGCTGTTATTGCTTCCCATCAGTGTTAGTTTGTAGAGATATAAACAGGGACAGCTATTTGCTCTTTTTTGATTGCATTTTTTAAAAATAGTTTTTATTTGATCATTTCAGATCTTGAAAAAGGTGTTTCATTACATGGTTTTGGTAGAAATTAAAGTTATTTTCCATCATAGTTTGAGCACATATCATTGCCTTTGTTGTGTTATTGTACCGATATGCCACTTCTCCTCTAAAAAACACAGTATGTTTATGTGTTGGTTAAAGGGTTAGTTCACCCAAAAATGAAAATTAGCCCATGAATTACTCACCCCTGAGGCATCCTAGGTGTATATGACTTTCTTCTTTCAGACGAATCCAGTCGGATTTATATTAAAATTTGTCTTTGATCTTCCAAGCTGTTTAATGGCAGTCAGCGGGTGTTGCAGTGCTTCAGTCCAAAAGAAGTTAAATAAAGCGCATCCATCCATAGTAAAAAGTACCTCACACGGCTAAACCTAACTAAGGTTTTTAGTCTAAGGCGAGAGAGAGAGAGCGTGCAGGAGAGATGTCAGACAGCAGCAGTGCAGTTCTGCTGTCATATGAAACACTGGTGCATGCTGTGGCAGGTGCAATGGTGAGCAAACACCAGCCCAAATAACTGTTGCCCATTTAGATTGTTTCCCGTTAATGTGATGTAGGGGTGTGCGATATATATCTTCTGTAACAGCCCAAATGTCTTATTATTCTAATTCCCTGATTAAATGTAAGAATTTGACTCAAAAGATAATGGACACTTTTAGGAAAAATGGCTTTATAAAGGTAAAAATGCCCATAAAATGCAAAAATCAGTTTAAACTTATTGGAAAAGATTAATTTCTATCAGTATGAACTGACCACCACACAGAATATGAAGGATATTAAAAACATTATGAGTCAGCTGTCTTCGGCAGTCCTTAAGATATCAGCACAATAACACACTCAGCAAAATATCGTCTAATTATTGTTATCGATAAGATCCCATAAAATACCGAGATATAATTTTTTGTCAATATCGCACACCCCTAATGTGATGATATTCTAAATCAGGTGTGTTTGTTGAACTATGTTTTATTGCTTTGTAGGGCAGTGTTACAGCAATGACAGTGTTCTTCCCTTTGGACACAGCCAGGATCAGACTGCAGGTCTGCAGGAGTTATTATGGAGTCGTGATTTTGTATTGTACTGGAAAATTTATATTTGATAAAAAAAAAAAAAAAATTGTTGTACAGTTAAGGAAACAAGAATCAAAATTATGAAAATTAAAATAATTCTAAACGAAAATGAATTAAATAGTAATGTCATGGCAGTTTTTTAGTGGAAAAAACTTTCTAGTTATGCTGTTCTTTAACATATTTAATCAGCTTGAAATTGTGTATAAGAGCTCTATAAATTGATCTTCAGACATTTTGATCAGTATCACAAAAACTGGACAAGTATTCCTCAAAATTCATTGGTGAATGAAGATGTGGGAACTCTGTGTAGCTTTTTCAAGTTTGTGAAGATGCTGTGTGACAGATTGCATTTCCAAGGTCTCTAAATTATCAACATGATCAAAACTTGTTCAACCTGGTTGATCAACCTGTTGCACACAATCCACTCTTTTAGCAAGTAAAAGGCCTTTGAAATCGCATCATATGACCCCTTTAAGGAGGACGTTTTTATAATTAAACTAAAAGGCCTTTTACTTGCTAAAAGAGTGGATTGTGTGCAACAGGTTTTTTAGCAAAGTTTTGATCATGTTGATAATTTAGAGACCTTGGAAATGCTGATGTACTGAGGCTGTGAGCTCAGTATGTCAGTGGTGAGATGAAGGATGGCTCCTCGTGTCCTTTATGTACCACTCTGGTAAGAAGGTATACTGAGAGTCTCTGTGGACGGTGAAGGTCACGTCTCTGTGTGGATCCCATTTGAACAGGTACACCAGTCTGAAAAACATCACATTACATCAGACCAGTCACAATCTCTGATAAGATGGTCGATGTTAAAGTTGCTCCATTTTACTCGTCATATTTCCAAGTGAAACAATATGGAAAAAAAATTGGGGAATGATTTGATTGTGGCAAGTATGTGTTAAATGGCAAACAACAAATGTTCTTATTTCACAACATGCACTGATGAAATGTTCAAAACCAGACCTTGAAAATGTACGTGAACAGGGACTATTCATGCAACCGTCTTACCTAGGGTCGTCCTCTTTGACGACTGATTTGACGAAGGACAAGAAATCGTTGCAGAAATTCATACAGACTGTTGGCTTCCAGCAGTTATACTCATTCTACAGAATAAAGAGACATTAAACTTAATCTCACTTCATCATTCCACAGTCTCTCTATAATGACATCCAACATAGACGCTAGTGAATAAAGCAATCCCAGAATGCACTGATTACAAGATTTCAATTCCATTCACCATGATTGAACTACTTCTAATCTAATTACAAACTGACTACTTTATGCAATCACTCTATGTGCTATGTATTTTTATAAACTACTTTATTTTTAAGAAATGAACACTTTCATTCAGCAATGACGCATTAAACTGATCAAACGTGACAGAAATTATATTTATAATGCTACGAAATATTTCCATTTCAATCAAAACTATATCAGTTTACACACACTATAAAGCAGCACAGCTCTTTTCGACACAGATAATTAAGAAATGTTTCTTGAGCAGCGAATCGGCATATCAGAGTGATTTCTGAAGGATCATGTGACACTGAAGACTGGAGTAATGATGCTGGAAATTCAGCTTTGCATCACAGGAATACATTACAATTAAAATATATTACAATAGAAAACGGCTATTTTGAATTATAATAATATTTCACAATGTTACTGTATTTCTGATCAAATATGCAGTTTTAGTGCGCATTAGAGACTTAATTAATACTCCAACTCTTACATTTCCATTTAAAATGAATGGCTTTTGATCACTGTCAGTGTAAACACCAGCTCTGTAGGGTTTGAAACAGAGCTCTTATTTCAGATTTAACCAACCGGCACTGAAGCTTTAATGTGTGGTTATTAAAAACAAACCTTGATGAGTTGTGAAATTTTCGAGGTTTGGAAGGTCTCAACAGACACCACTATCCCATCATGATCTCGAAACCCAGCGACTATCTGTGGCACTCCAGGAAGAAACGACTGCGCCCACCATTTCAGCAGCTTGTACCTACAAGAGGAACATACATACATGTTTTTAAGAGGCTTAAATAACGCCCCATAAATTGATTAAATGATTGAGGAAAAATAGTGCTTAATATTCTTTGACACATGAAGAAATTTGCATTTGAATGACACGAGGCGGCAAACTTTTTTGGAGAACTATGCCTTTGATGTCCTGTTTACACCAAGATGAATGTTCAGTGTAATAAAAAATGTAATATAAATGAATGACTGTTAATGGGATGGTTCACTAAAAAAAAAAAAAATTTAAAATCCGTCATCATTTACTCATCCTCAAGTTGTTCCAAACATTTTTCTTTCTTCTGCTGAGCACAAAAAAATATATTTTGAGGAACGTTTGTAATCAAACAGTTAACTGCAGCCATTGACTTCCATAGTATGGAAACAAATACTATGGAAGTCAATGGCTACCGTCAGCTGTTGGTGGTAAACAGTTCCCTTGAATACATACAGCATTATGTTGAGACCGACACAAACATTTGCATGGATTCAATGTGACAGATTTTTTGGTGGAGAGGAAATTTGTGCTTTTGGTCACATGGCCAGAGCCTCGGCTGTCACTCACAAACAGACTAATTTGCTAAGTCACAGTGAACAGTGGAGGAAGAGTCTAGTTGTGCAATGCAGTGCTCTGTGTACCGCGGTAACCGCTGCATTTTCTTTCAACCAGTGTTTTCGTGAAAATCAGACCAACATTTTGTGCCGAACATTCGTGTTGGTGTGAACAGGCCTTAAAGGGATAGTTCACCCAAAAATGATAATTCTGACATTAATTACTCACCCTCATGTCAAACCCGTAAGACCTCCGTTCATCTTCGGAACACAAATTAAGATATTTCTGATGAAATGTGAGAGCTCTCAGACCCTGCAAAGACAGCAACACAACTGAAATGTTCCCAGGTCCAGAAACGTAGTAAGGACATCGGTAAAACTGTCCATGTGACATCAGTGGCTTAACTTCAGTTCTGCGAAGCTACGAGAATACATTTTGAGCGCAAAGAAAACAAAAATAATTTATTTAACAATTCTTCTCCCCCGAGTTACGTCTTCCGCCATTTTAGAGAGTATCACAACACATACACACGCTTTCCCCTAAGCATAAACAATGCTGATTACGCAGATTACGTTTTGCGCACGCTTTCTCCTCCGAACGTAAACAACACTGATTACGCAAATTATGTTCATGAGCGCACTTTCTCCTCCGAACGTAAACATAGCTGATTATGCAGATTACGTTCATGCGCACGCTTTCTCCTCCGAACGTAAACAACGCTGATTACGCAGATTACGTTCATGCGCACGCTTTCTCCTCCGAACGTAAACAACGCTGATTACGCAGATTACGTTCATGCGCACGCTTTCTCCTCCGAACGTAAACAACGCTGATTACGCAGATTACGTTCATGCGCACGCTTTCTCCTCCGAACGTAAACAACGCTGATTACGCAGATTACGTTCATGCGCACGCTTTCTCCTCCGAACGTAAACAACGCTGATTACGCAGATTACGTTCATGCGCACGCTTTCTCCTCCGAACGTAAACAACGCTGATTACGCAGATTACGTTCATGCGCACGCTTTCTCCTCCGAACGTAAACAACGCTGATTACGCAGATTACGTTCATGCGCACGCTTTCTCCTCCGAACGTAAACAACGCTGATTACGCAGATTACGTTCATGCGCACGCTTTCTCCTCCGAACGTAAACAACGCTGATTACGCAGATTACGTTCATGCGCACGCTTTCTCCTCCGAACGTAAACAACGCTGATTACGCAGATTACGTTCATGCGCACGCTTTCTCCTCCGAACGTAAACAACGCTGATTACGCAGATTACGTTCATGCGCACGCTTTCTCCTCCGAACGTAAACAACGCTGATTACGCAGATTACGTTCATGCGCACGCTTTCTCCTCCGAACGTAAACAACGCTGATTACGCAGATTACGTTCATGCGCACGCTTTCTCCTCCGAACGTAAACAACGCTGATTACGCAGATTACGTTCATGCGCACGCTTTCTCCTCCGAACGTAAACAACGCTGATTACGCAGATTACGTTCATGCGCACGCTTTCTCCTCCGAACGTAAACAACGCTGATTACGCAGATTACGTTCATGCGCACGCTTTCTCCTCCGAACGTAAACAACGCTGATTACGCAGATTACGTTCATGCGCACGCTTTCTCCTCCGAACGTAAACAACGCTGATTACGCAGATTACGTTCATGCGCACGCTTTCTCCTCCGAACGTAAACAACGCTGATTACGCAGATTACGTTCATGCGCACGCTTTCTCCTCCGAACGTAAACAACGCTGATTACGCAGATTACGTTCATGCGCACGCTTTCTCCTCCGAACGTAAACAACGCTGATTACGCAGATTACGTTCATGCGCACGCTTTCTCCTCCGAACGTAAACAACGCTGATTACGCAGATTACGTTCATGCGCACGCTTTCTCCTCCGAACGTAAACAACGCTGATTACGCAGATTACGTTCATGCGCACGCTTTCTCCTCCGAACGTAAACAACGCTGATTACGCAGATTACGTTCATGCGCACGCTTTCTCCTCCGAACGTAAACAACGCTGATTACGCAGATTACGTTCATGCGCACGCTTTCTCCTCCGAACGTAAACAACGCTGATTACGCAGATTACGTTCATGCGCACGCTTTCTCCTCCGAACGTAAACAACGCTGATTACGCAGATTACGTTCATGCGCACGCTTTCTCCTCCGAACGTAAACAACGCTGATTACGCAGATTACGTTCATGCGCACGCTTTCTCCTCCGAACGTAAACAACGCTGATTACGCAGATTACGTTCATGCGCACGCTTTCTCCTCCGAACGTAAACAACGCTGATTACGCAGATTACGTTCATGCGCACGCTTTCTCCTCCGAACGTAAACAACGCTGATTACGCAGATTACGTTCATGCGCACGCTTTCTCCTCCGAACGTAAACAACGCTGATTACGCAGATTACGTTCATGCGCACGCTTTCTCCTCCGAACGTAAACAACGCTGATTACGCAGATTACGTTCATGCGCACGCTTTCTCCTCCGAACGTAAACAACGCTGATTACGCAGATTACGTTCATGCGCACGCTTTCTCCTCCGAACGTAAACAACGCTGATTACGCAGATTACGTTCATGCGCACGCTTTCTCCTCCGAACGTAAACAACGCTGATTACGCAGATTACGTTCATGCGCACGCTTTCTCCTCCGAACGTAAACAACGCTGATTACGCAGATTACGTTCATGCGCACGCTTTCTCCTCCGAACGTAAACAACGCTGATTACGCAGATTACGTTCATGCGCACGCTTTCTCCTCCGAACGTAAACAACGCTGATTACGCAGATTACGTTCATGCGCACGCTTTCTCCTCCGAACGTAAACAACGCTGATTACGCAGATTACGTTCATGCGCACGCTTTCTCCTCCGAACGTAAACAACGCTGATTACGCAGATTACGTTCATGCGCACGCTTTCTCCTCCGAACGTAAACAACGCTGATTACGCAGATTACGTTCATGCGCACGCTTTCTCCTCCGAACGTAAACAACGCTGATTACGCAGATTACGTTCATGCGCACGCTTTCTCCTCCGAACGTAAACAACGCTGATTACGCAGATTACGTTCATGCGCACGCTTTCTCCTCCGAACGTAAACAACGCTGATTACGCAGATTACGTTCATGCGCACGCTTTCTCCTCCGAACGTAAACAACGCTGATTACGCAGATTACGTTCATGCGCACGCTTTCTCCTCCGAACGTAAACAACGCTGATTACGCAGATTACGTTCATGCGCACGCTTTCTCCTCCGAACGTAAACAACGCTGATTACGCAGATTACGTTCATGCGCACGCTTTCTCCTCCGAACGTAAACAACGCTGATTACGCAGATTACGTTCATGCGCACGCTTTCTCCTCCGAACGTAAACAACGCTGATTACGCAGATTACGTTCATGCGCACGCTTTCTCCTCCGAACGTAAACAACGCTGATTACGCAGATTACGTTCATGCGCACGCTTTCTCCTCCGAACGTAAACAACGCTGATTACGCAGATTACGTTCATGCGCACGCTTTCTCCTCCGAACGTAAACAACGCTGATTACGCAGATTACGTTCATGCGCACGCTTTCTCCTCCGAACGTAAACAACACTGATTATGCAGATTACGTTCATGCGCACGCTTTCTCCGACGAACGTAAACAACGCTGATTACGCAGATTATGTTCATGCGCACGCTTTCTCCTTCGAACGTAAACAACGCTGATTACGCAGATTACGTTCATGCGCGCGCTTTCTCCTCCGAACGTAAACAACACTGATTACGTTCATGAGCGCGCTTTCTCCTCCGAACATAAACAACACTGATTACACTGATTACGTTCATGCGCGCGCTTTCTCCTCCGAACGTAAACGACACTGATTACGCAGATTACGTTCATGAGCGCGCTTTCTCCTCCGAACGTAAACAACGCTGATTATGCAGATTACGTTCATGAGCGCACTTTCTCCTCCGAACGTAAACAACGCTGATTATGCAGATTACGTTCATGAGCGCACTTTCTCCTCCGAACGTAAACAACGCTGATTATGCAGATTACGTTCATGAGCGCACTTTCTCCTCCGAACGTAAACAACGCTGATTATGCAGATTACGTTCATGAGCGCACTTTCTCCTCCGAACGTAAACAACGCTGATTATGCAGATTACGTTCATGAGCGCACTTTCTCCTCCGAACGTAAACAACGCTGATTATGCAGATTACGTTCATGAGCGCACTTTCTCCTCCGAACGTAAACAACGCTGATTATGCAGATTACGTTCATGAGCGCACTTTCTCCTCCGAACGTAAACAACGCTGATTATGCAGATTACGTTCATGAGCGCACTTTCTCCTCCGAACGTAAACAACGCTGATTATGCAGATTACGTTCATGAGCGCACTTTCTCC